GGGAAACCAGGTTTGTGCACTTTTGGTAGTCCATAGCAACGAGGAAGGTTGCCATTTGTGCAACGTAGCTGGTTGTATGTGTATGTGTCTATGAGTTTCCCATCTCGCCACGATTTAATTAAGTCGCTAATTTTGTTGGTTATCTGGTTAAGGGGGTCTCTTTTTAAAATTTTGTACGTATCTCTGTCACTTAATGTTTCCGTCATTTTTTCTATATAGGAACTTTTGTCCATAACAACCGTGACTTGTCCCTTATCTGCCTTTGTTACAAAAATATCTTTATTTCTCTTTAGAAACCTACAACAATTGTGGAATAATTTTATTAAGTGTTTTTCTATGTCGCTGTGATCGTCTCGAGATACTCTCAGATGTACGGACACATGGATCCTGCTCGTTACTCAAATCCAAAGAACCGAATTAAATAATTGACGAACATTACGTGTGAGTTAGAAAGACATTTTTAATTTATATTCTAAAAGATTATTGGTCCTACTGTTAAGCCAACACAAAAACCTTATAATAGATTCATAAACATTGTGTGTGTTTTACAAAGACATCAAACATATGTATATTGAAAAACTATTTTATAATTATAATGTTATAGATAAGACTTATTGCTGCCACAATAACTTGTTATCCGTAAATGCTCGTCTCTTAAACTAACCTGAAGAAGACTGCGATTGGCAGTCGAAACGTTGTTAATTTGATAAATTAAATATAGCCAGTTATGTCGAAACAATGGATTGATTATTGATTTAATTACTGGTGAACAAAAACATTACCAACAACATTTTAAAACTAATAAAATTACAACGCTTAATTTTTTCAATCAAGTAGTTATAATTGTATTAGAGTTTTGTACATTTAATTAAGATATTTTAGATTTATATTTTTGATACGTAAAAAGAATTTCATAATTTTAAAGATTCTTTTTAACTACAGGAGAAATAGTTATTGGAATAAACTTGACTGAAATCTTTTCAGTGTTCATCATCGAACGCAAAGCGTCTGGAATTGTCGGCGGGTTAATTAGTATCGGTTACGGAAAGCTTCTACAAGAGGACAACGCGAGAAACATGCCGGTGATCGTTCATATGTCCGCTTGATAAATCGCGAGGCAAAATCCCAGCGTTGCGGTGCTCATCGCCCGAGGGAGATGTTCGCAAAAACGAGGCCGATAACAATGCCGTGCTAAACCCGGTGCCGTTTCGTCGCGACGCGGTCGGCTATGAAAATAACTTTGAAATAATTAGCGTTAATGAACACTATTGGCAAGCATGTAGCAGATATGCACCTTAATTAAAATTTAGTATGTTTTATTTCGCATTTGTTCGTGTAATCCTTTGAGTTCTATTCGTTCCCTTCACAAGGGAAACTTATTATATGATACTGATAAAAAGAAACTATTTCTTTGTATGTCAAATCGAGTCAGCATTCATTTCTTTACTCTTCCTTTTATAGTTGATATTATACTTTCGTTAAAAGCACAAGTCGGGCACGGAAAAATTCGAAACAACCGAGAGATATTTTTATACATAAAAGGGGAAAGTTTTCCAGAGAAAGTTTTAATTAAAATTGCGAGTAATACCACAATGTAAATAAAAACAGTAGGTACACTTTGTGTCAGTGTCTTTGATCTTTATGGCTAATTCGCTACGTTAATTGCGAAGCGCTTCAGAAACTGCTTGATTTGCCATTTACAGTCTTCATTGTATATTTCATTTCATATCAAATACTATTCTGTACAGCACAGAAGCTTGCAGCATATTGCAGTAACGTTTCAATATTGTACTTTATAACAATATTGTTGAAAAATTGTACAAACATAAATTTTACAATGTAGTTTGAACAATGTTATAGCAACATTTCAAAAATGTTGTGAATAACCTTTTGAATCTATCTTTTGATTCTATGTAGCAGAGTGTATTTATTTTACAGTAAACTTCAAATAGTGTTGTACTTTTTGTACAACTTTCCTCCAATAATTTATAACTAAAAAAATGTAATACTTTAGTTTATTAGTTTTGTAACGGTGACATTTTGAGTTGTATTTTTTTAACAATGTATTTCTATTACTAGAAACGAAGGTCTTCGAAGTATCGCAACACCACTTAATCGATTTAGCCAATGGAAATGGTTTCTCAGTGTAACTATACAGGGCGAGACTTTTTTTTCTTAACAGGCAAATATTTCGAAAATATGCAATTTCGCCAAAAAACTTTTAAAATAAAAGTTGTACGGTCTAGAGGGGGACATAAGATGATGTCATTAATTTGACCTTAAATAGTTTCTTGAAGATCACGCGAAGGTCACCTTCAATTTCTTAGTAGAACCCCCAATCGTTTATTATACTATCTTATTCTGCAAATTAATATAAACATAATTGGATTGTCCGATTAGATTTAAACGGATATTTTTCTCAGTGCAGTTATAAATAATTTTGTCATCACTTCGCTGGAGATAGTGAAAAATAAAGCGGAAACGTACGATTCATAATTTAAATTTAAATTGGTAATTTACATAAAATTAACTCGTGCACAACCCCCGTTTGACTCTCCAAGCTCACCTTTTCCTTGTTACTTGTTAAAAGAATATAAATAACGATTGAGCAATTTTTTTAGATACCTTCGTTTTGTATTGACTTGCAGCGACCAACAGCTGTTGATAGAACGAACGTTCGTACTGAAATGCTTTGCAAATGTTAAATGCTTCTCTGTAAGTAACGCTTATTTTGCAACACACAAAGACGCATGTAAAACTATTGTATTGTGCCACATACATTTGCTACGTAAATGCTGGCTCATTTTAATTTACTAGTTATGAATTGTGAATTACAGGATGCCTTCAGATTGACTTTGATATTAAGCTAATGTTTAATTCATCTTCAGTGTTAAATGTTCTTCTGTTACTGCTTATTACGAACACGTTAGTACGAACACATTAATTATTATACAGAATGCACAAAAAATCCGAACGTTGAGTAAAAATTTTAGGTCTGCATTTAAAATTTAAAATTTGTCCCTGAGAGCTCCTCCATAATTGCGCTCAAAGTCAAATAATTATTACCATCTGATGCATTTGTTAAAACTCTACAAGTTTTGTATGAAACATTTTTGTCTAAAAATTTTACCGGCCCGAGACTTCCCGCACTCTGTATACAGAAATTAATTATACAATTATACATTGTTATTATATGCACACAATTTATAGAATTTCTATAAATCAGTCCTCAAGTTTTTATTTTCACAACATAATTTTGCTACACGTTGATAAATTTATTTTTAAATAAGCTTTAATAAGCTCCCCACATAGCACAAATGACTGTTTGCCGGCTGATAGTCAACATTTTTTAGCCACCTTGAAGTCGACTTTTGAAATCGACATTTAGTCTACTATTTATAGAATGGTTTATTGTCGACTTTAACTATAGAGTCAAAGTCGACCTAAAGTCGACATATTCAGGAAGTTTAAAGTCGCCTTTCGGTAAAGCGAAAAATTAACTAAAAAATATTTTTTCGTCTTACCGAAAGACAAAAAACTTTTTGTCATCTTTTTTCTTATTTTTTTCGGCAAAGTGCAAAAATGTGTAAAAAATATCTTTTTGGCCAATCTTTCTGGTCAATATGTTGAACCGATATATAGCGAATCGACGTCTCACTTTCCGCGTGTAGCGCGATAGTCGCGACATGCATGCTCCTTGCTTGTTCGTGAATTGTCAGTGTCTTCCTGATAGACGACAATCGTATTTGGACATAAGACGAGTCATATTTTTCGCGTGGCTATCGAATTAATACGATTTAATGTGTCGATTAATACAAGTTAATCAAGGAAACCTGTCAAATTTGTCAAAAATATAAAAGCATAATTAAATAATATAATATATACTCTGGTTTGTCTGTTTTTATTAAGACATGTGCTCATTATAATTATTATTTAAGTTTAATTGGAGCATTTTCAAAGACTTGATCAATATAATTTTATTATTTCTTAATTGTATTATATATTGTAAATATTATACAATTAAAATATAAAAACTTTAATCAATCAGGTTTTCAAGATGTCACTATTAAACATTTAGTAGTTAATATAAATAACGTAAAATTGACTAAAAGTTGACTTCTAATTGCCATAAAGTAGACTTCTGATCGCCATAAAGTAGACTTCTAATCATCATAAAGTCGACTTTTAATTGCCATAAAGTCGACTCCTAAGTCGACTTTTGGTTGACTATAGTCGAGTCATTTGTCGACTATTAGTTGACTATAAGTTGACGTTCAGCTTGAAGTCGACTTTAGACTTCTACTGCCGACTGACAATCAACTAATAGTCGACTTGGTGCTGTTTAGGTCTCTGAATATAATATATATAAGTGCGCTTACTTTTACATGTAGAAGCGTTTTAAAATTCTCAAAAACAACAGCGAATGGTGGAGGAATTAAAAAAATATTAGGACTCTTTGAATAACTTTTCGAAAAATTCAAAGTTAATCGAAATCGGAAATGAGAGAAGGGCGGGAAAGCACGCGGGTCCATTTCTTCGTAAGCATCTCTAGTGTGATGTTTCGTTTGCTCATCCCGTATCTGTCCCGAGGGCCAAACGGGAGAGAGGGACATCCGGGCTATTTCCATCGGCTTTATTAAATTCAACGTTCCATGAGACAAAGTCGTCAATTAAAGGAGACCGGCGGCGCGGGCGCGTGCGTCGGGGAGAAACGATTATGCGCTCGTCACGCGTCGGCGTGCCGGTCGAGCGAGCGTAAAGCGCGAACGAGCTCGATTACGTAAACAGCGGCCTGTTAGAGTTCGCACTGATTGTGAGACAAATCCCCCGGCAAACCCCAACTAACGGTAATATTATTTCAATTTTACGATTTTCCAGCTGTCAACAATATAAATGTAATATGACCCATGTTGTACATAACAACTGCATTATCGAGTAGGCAATATAGTATTAATGTGATACTGCGGTTGGCGCTTGCTGGGATGCGTTCTGCGTGCGCGCACGTGTCGTTGCCTCAAAGATTGCTCGTACCTGTAGGCACCTGCTCATCTCCTTTTGACGCCGAGCCTCCGCCGATAAATCGCGTGGACGCTCGCTCGTGCATTTTTTTGCCCCCTACCCCTTTGCCGTGGTCTCCGGGCTTGTTCGGGCCGGATGCTGAGGCATCGGAAGATTGGTTGGATCATAATGCCATGGAAAAGCGCGCTGGCGAATTTCCTTGCTACACGACACGGGCTCATAATTCACGATTGCGCTAGAACGTGTCCCGTGCCATGCACGCACGTAGAAACGCGCGAGAATCCTATCTATACTGAGGTTACAAGAAGAAGAGAGTAAAAGAAAGGGAGGGAGAGAGGGAGAGATCAACGCTGCCAAGCGGTTCGCTGAAGCGTGTCTCGCTAGCGCGGTGCCTGATTATTTTAATTGATGCGCCGCCGTCACGTCCCATTTAATGGGCGTTATTCGAAAACAGCCGTCGTTTTCCCTCGCGCATCCGAAAAACTTCGCGAGATCCGCATGCATTCGAGACGCGAGGGATAAAACGAGATACAGGATGGTGCGCGGGATATATTTGAGAGCGCGGGCGGTTTCGACGACACAGTTCTGATCCTGTTGCGTGAGACACCTGAGCCTTACCGGCCTACAGTTCTGATATAATTTTGCTCGAAAATATAGAGGACAGTTCTTTATTATGAGATAGGCTCTTAATACGAGATAGCGGGCGTCATCTCTTGATTCCGCCATGAATTTATTGCTCTTGGAGCGAAATCTGTTTAGTGAGAAATTTATTCTTAGATCGGGTAATCATTGCAAAAAAAGATTTGCGATTGAATTTGTATATTGAAAATGTGGCATATGTATATGTTGCACCGTGCTTCAAAGGGTTATTATGTAATTGAATTATTCGATTGCATGGACCAGGATATTTTCCCCAGTGTATGGTGGAGGACAATACGGCCATAAACGTAGGACAACGGCAATCTGCATTTACGCAACTATACACGCGCAAAACAATGTTTGCAAAACTCTGCTAAAAAAAAGCAAATGTTTAGATTAGAATTGAAATTAAACACCACATTATTACGGATGTGTTCGTAATTATGCGCCTAGGCGATATTATGTGCGTGCAATTTTAAGAGTAAAAGATAGTAAAAAATTGTGCAATTTGACTTGATGTATAAATATTTCGAAATACCTTGGCGGAAAAAATTTCTATAAATAACTACAAAAATTGACGTGAAATAGAAATTTGTAGAAATTTTTATATTTTCGTTGAAACGTTAATTTTTTCTAAAAATATCTACGAAATATAATATAGTAGCACAAATTACAATGTTCTCAAATCAAGAAATTATTGCAAGTAGTATTTCATGAAAATGTACAATTTTGTAAAAATTAGTATACAAAGCTTTACTAGTTTAAAAAATTTAAGAAACAACAGAATCTTAAAGAATTAAAGCGTCCGCTTACTTGTAGAATATTACAAGAATTAACGAAAGTGTTCAAATTCTAGCAGTTTCATGTTGATTTTTATAACACTTTTTGAATTTACGTAGAATTTCTTAGATTCTGGCAGTCATATTTAATTTTTTTTTTGTAGAATTTTGTAGAATTATTCCCGGCAGGGAATTGAGAACGACTTGAATTTTGGTAGGCGATATTAGGTGCCTTTACCCTACGCCTCGATGCCGAGTGACGCAGGTACTAGGCAAGAGTGCCGTTTTAAACACACGTGTCTCTATTCGGTATTCGCGTGTAAAAAAAAGTACGAACGTTAAAGTGTAAAGCGCATTAACATACGAATCTCATCTTACATTCGACATGTAACTGCACGGCGCAGCATCACGTAGCGTCCGCCGTCTGGGCTAATGCTCGTAGCTCTCAACGTACGCACAATGTACAGGTTGTTTATTCCTCCGCGAATCATTGCTCTTTTGATCGTCGACGATTACGGCGGGCTCGTACGGGCGCACGAGTGCGCTCGTAAAGCTGCAATACGCACCGCAAAGGGAGGAGACGGCGGCGTCTCTAATGTGTTTTCCCTTGCGTACGTGTCGTTTGATTTGGACGCACCGTATGAGATGTAGGGCAGAAGTTTACTCTGCGCTTAATGATCAAACGACTCGTCGCGGCGCTCAAAGGCACGCGCATGTCGTGCGCGGGTCCTCATAAGTCACGTCGTTTCGAGGGTAATTAGTAATTGTTGTTTATCGATAAGCAAACTAATGTAATGCAGCGTCGGAACTCTCAGGCTCGTGCAACCGCCCCTGGTACGCACATACCGCATCCCCTTGGGAAAATATACCTTGGGAAACCTCGAAAGTTTACTTTAGAAAAGCAAGAAACCCTTGTTTAAGATAAACTTAAAACTTATCTTAAGAATTTACAAGAAAACTTTGAAAATTGTGAAAGGGGTATGCGATATAATACCGCGTGCGGTTTTCTTCTTACGAGAAAAGTGCTGTGCCTCGCTGCCCTCTAGCGGGAGCTTCGACGGGCTTGGCTGTCTAAAAGTTACTTTAAGTGTCCAAAATTACTCGAAAGTTTCTTAAGTAAACTTTTAGCTTGTTTAAATAAACTCTTAGATTTGAGAGAATACTTTTAAAAGCTGTAATTCCATGTCAAGTTTTCCAAGGGCATGCAAACGATAGCGCAGCCTTTTACTTCCGCTCTAATTTATACTGAAAATGTTGCGGAGAAGCTTTAAAGATATAATAAT